TTATAAGTAATACGGATTCAGTATAATACTTTTAGCATAAACAAAACCTTCAAGTAAATATATAGTTCAATAACAAGGAGCTTCTTTGCGTCAGCTTCTTTGTCGAATATGCCCAACGATTGGAATTTAACTGTGCTCTGCCTAACCCACAAAAAAGGAGACCCCACAATCTGCGCCAACATCCTCAACTTCACGTATAAAGTTCTATCGAGCGTATTGTGTAAAAGATTCGAAGTGATTGGACCTTATCAGTGTGACCTTCTTCTCTTCTTAATTGGCGCAGACACCGCTTACGCGATTATAGCCGCGCCAGTCGTTTCTTCTTTTCGCTACGTGGCGCCAATTGGATATTCCTAGCGTAGCCAGGTCCTTCTCCACTGGTACTTCTAACGGGGTGGAGGTCAGTGTGACCTTAGGCCTAGAAAATCAACAACCGACCAGATATTCACCATGCGCCAGATTTTGGAAAAGACCCGTGAAGAAAGAAACAACACAACCACCACACCAGGGGCTGCCTTCATGACGACATGTATGAATTTGTTATTCCCGCAAAACTAATACGGCTGCATAAGCTGACATTGAGCAGTACCAAAAGCTCCGTCAGGATCAGAAAGGATATCTCCGAGTCGTTCGATACGAAACGAGGTGTCAGACAAGACTCCCTATCGTGCGACTTCTTCAACCTGCCCCTGGAGAAAATAATTCGAGCTGCAGGCTGAAAAGAAAAGTTACAATTTTTTCAGAAAGGGTAGGGAAACGAAGCAAATGGGGCTGATAGCGAACGAAAGCAAGACGAAATATCTCCTGTCATCAAACAAACAGTCGTCGCACTCGCGACTTGGTTCTCACGTCACTGTTGACAGTCATAACATCGAAGTCGTAGATAACTTTGTCTATCTTGGAATCACTGTTAACACCAACAACAATGTCTGTCTCGAAATCGAACGCAGAAGAATTCTTGCCAACAGGTGCTACTTCGGACTGAGTACACAATTGAGTAGTAAAGTTCTCTCTTGAATAAGAAACACCAAACTCTAAAAGTCACTCATTATTCCCGGTGCAGAGGCATGGACGATGTGTTGTACGAATTATACGACGAAGTTGACATAGTTCAGCGAATTAGGAGACAGCGGCTGCGCTGGCTAGGTCATGTCGTGCGAATGGATGAAAACAGTTCAACTCTGAGAGTATTCGAAGCTGTACCCGGCGGAGAAAGCAGAGGAAGAGAAAGGCCGCCACTCCTTTGGAAAGATTAGATGGAAAAGAGCCTGGTTACACTTGGAACCTTTAATTAGTGCCCAACTGTGAAAAGGAAGAACGACTGACGCGCTATTGTAAACTCGGCTATAATCGCGTAAGTGGTGTCTACGCAAATAAAGATGAAGAAGGGTCAACACATTACTACTAAATTGACGGCAAATTTAAATCTTGCGTTAATTTTGAGACACTCTTTAGTTTAATGACACTTCGGCACTTATTCCTATAAATTAAAATTTTACTCAGTAATGTATACATCCAGTTGCTGAAAGCGTGTTCACACAAAAATTATGTATGTAGGTGTATGAGGATTTACAAAAGCGTTAATTGCTGTTTGCACTTGAATATCAGAAATATGAGAAAAAGCAAACAAATAATAACCAATATAATAAATATTGTGTACAATAATATTGCGCCATTATTTGTCTTTGAACGCAAATCGAATAAAAAAAATAAACAAATTACTACGTTTCAATTATTATTTCGCTTATTTAATTGAAAGGACGCGGCAATAGGGTACAAGGGTCTATATGCTGTGCCTTATTTATATTTTTTGTTATTTTTCTGCTTATTAAGCAGCGAGTAGACACAAAGCAAACACAAAGCGAAGCGAGAAAATTCGGAGGAAATCAAGAGAACCGAGCAAAAGGGACCGAAAGGTACATTTTGTGCCCGCGACTGGTCATGCCAAGCGAAACTGTGCTGTTGTCCACTTGTTCCTGCGCCGACAATTTTGAAAATTACATTTTCCGGTCATACTTTCCGAAGATTCGTTGCAACACCCTTTCGGGAAAAACTAGCAGCAACATGCACATAATTAAAAGAAAAGAAATTATAAAACAAACAAAAATGAGAAAGCAAAATGCAAAAAAGTGAAAGATAGGAACTTAGCACTCTTGTTGACACAGTGCTAACGATAATGTTGATTGTTTGTCCCTTTGCTAGCAATTGACCTATGGTTGGCCCGAGAGCGGTGTCAAAGCGCAGCATTGATGAATATTCATACTGATGAAAGCTATACGAGTATAAAGAAAGCGGGAGAATGTAGGGATGTGGAACACAAATACACACTCATATACATATATGCAAATATATACGCATACAGGAATACATACATTGATAATATAGTACATAGTACATTCATTCATATATAACCTTATCACTCAATGTCTCTTCGCTGCCATTTAAAAACGCCCTTTCGACCTCCTACCTATGTATGAATATCCTCTTGCTTACGGTTATCTATTTACGAGTTATCCTTTTCTGCACACAAAATCTCCTACACCATAAAGCATGAACGAGGATGTGTTGCTTTCTATTGACCTGAAAATGGCACACAAAAATAAGGCAAAGCAATCCGAAATGCTCAGGGCGATCCGTTTTGAATCTCGCATGATTATTTTGCTCCTGCTGTTCGCACAATGTCCCATTATCTCTTTCGTTTGTAGCCTGCTTTTTGTTGAATTTGTTGTTTCACTTTTTACCTCGAGCATTGTTTGCGCTTTTGTAGAGTCGCACACATACATGTACACAGTTTCTCACGGGCTAACACGACCGTTATACAATATCGTGCATGCTCCATAATAAAGTTATTTATTTTATTATTTTTATTGTAGCCTTTACAAGTCGCTTTGCAGCTAAGCTATGAATTGATTTCAATAATTTGTTGATGCCCTACAACAGTTGTCTGTTATATCCTTTTCTCTAGCACACGCGCTGACATGCTCATGTGTGTGTAAAAGTTCATTCCGATTTGTGTTTTACGGTTTCATATACTATATATACATATGTGTGTATGCCTATCTGTGCCTATCTGAGCATATATTTTATATACACATGTTTTAAATTATAATTCAAATCGGTTTCATAGCTTGTATGCTTGTAATATGTGATTATTATGTTTGCAGAGAAGGATAAAAGAAAATCAGAGTTTTATTTGATAAAAGGTACAGAATGCTTCTGTTGACAAAAAGTTATCTCTTTTCATAGCAAAGGAAGCTTAGCTTAACGTTCTTTTCTATATTATTTTTATGTTGGATTGGTCGAGAAAACATTTACGAGGTGAGTAACGGAGAACTGAGAGTAATCAACAGTATTCACTAAATCTTAGAGAGTGGCAAATCGGACTAGTATACATCAAATACATTTGCATAATTAGATAGTTATAAAAAGTAAGTGAATTAGAGACAACTATTGTCTTAAGGATATAAATATTTTTAAATATGACTTATATTCTTGGGTTTACGGGTTTCAAAAAATCGATTCTTTTAATTGTCTTATTAAATTCTACAACACTTCTAGAATATTGTGTTAAATTTTTGAGTTGATGCGAATAGAAATTTCGGAGATACAGACTGGGGAACTTGTACGCTCGAGGCTTGCGATAACACGATTTCTCGAAACTGTGTTTTGAATTCGGTTGGCAAGATTTCTCGAGAACTACTTAACCGATGTTCATGAAATTTTACACAGAATTTTAAGATATAATTCTTAAAGACTTGGATAGTTTTTTTCCGATTATAACCATTTTAAAAAAGAAGCTATCAGGCGAATCTTTGAGGTTTAGAAGAAATATTAATAAAATCAAATGCATATTTCGGTTGTGTCGGTAAATGAAACTCTACAATTGAAGAAAAAGGTAGTGAGCGAAATCGTAGAGTAGACTCTAGAATATTGTAAAATCCTCATGTGACCTTTCGTGAGATTGAGGCAACTATAGACCATAGTCGTATCGAAATGAAACACGCATATGACATTGTAATAGGTACTGAGTCGTGGAATTACACGTATGAGCCCAAAAGTAAGCAGCAGTGGACTGTATGAGATCTGCCAGTTCAGCCAAAACTAACAACATGAACATGAAGCAGTTGTCTGTTTTTTTTTGGAAAAACTGAACATTTCGCAACCACTAGAACACAGAACAGTGAATGCGCCATAATCATTTGTTTGCTAGTTATCTATCAAGAAATCAGTAAAACCGAGCTCTGTCGATGGATGAGTCTTCGCTACGACAATGCGAGCTTTCACACATTGACTGAAACAACTCGTCTAGAAGATAGCCCAGTCATGGCACCGAATGACTTTTTTTTATTCCCGTACGTTAAAAATAAACTAAGATGTCAGCATTTTTCGACACCTCCAGAGACAGTTGCTGCGTTCAGAATGCATGTTTTGAAGATACCTCAAAAGAGTGGCAAAAGTGCTTTGACAATTGGGCCAAACGCATGCAAAAGTATAAATTCAAGATTTATTTTTGTTTTATAATCCCGTAATATACATAAATGGTAAACCTCGCAATATTAGATGTGAATTATAGAAATCCTTCTCTAACCGAACTTTTATTTTCAGTTATAGGAATATTCACAATTCTTTTTGAGAACTGCTTTTTGTCGCTTTAGAAATAAATACAACGAATCTTTTATATATTTGCTCAACATATGAAAAACCTGGATACGTTGAACAAATATATGAAAGTTTCGAAGGAACTCAACTTCGTAATATCTATCAAATACATATCAAAGGAATGCTTCCTTTAAATTTAAACCACTGACAGATAAATGACTAAAATTTTGAGCAGTTAGGAAGCCGCCGAAGGCTTTGAAATATATACGAGACGCGTTTCTAAACAGAAGAGATGAGTAGATAAGTAGAAGCGAAAGTGGTTGTGGTTCGAAATTTGGTAACTATTTTCTTCAAATGTAAGTTTTTTGCATTAAATAAATTTATGGAAGTTTTTGACTTACCTTTATTTCTTCTAACACACAGAATCTTGATCTATATACATAGTCTCGGTAAAATAATCCTTTGAACTCTGAAAAAGTAATTAAAAAAATTATTTTAGTTATTAAAAAAATCATGTTATAGCATATTTTTAGGCGTCTTAAATTTTTGTAAAGCTTTTTCTACCTTTTACAAGTTATTGGTCCCTCCCTTCTATCCTTTTATAATTATAAAATAAAAAATCGGTAAAAAAATCACATCTTCGGCACAAATTTCTTCCTACTCGCTTCATTTATTTACACAAAATTATAAAATCGATTTGCGCTTTGATTACTTTTTAATAGCATGAACGCATAAAATATGTCTTACTGCGGCTATAAAGCGACAAAAATGCTCGGCTGTGAGTTGAGCGTATGCAAAAAGTAATGAACGTTGTATCCACCTTTCTTAAAATACTATGCATTCTCAAGATGCTGCATAAATATCAACATAAATAATTATAAAAGGTGTAAAGAAAAATTATAAACATATTTATATTATATATTTGTATATTATTACATTAATAAATGAGGAGCTTATACGGTTTCGTCGCCATATTTTGGGAGCTTTGCGGTCAGTTGCCTTTCGCTTGCACCTGCTTACAAAAACATTTGTCTCACATTCTTGGCAGTTAAAATAAATGAGCGAATTTTGAGTGTGCAAAGTTGAAATTTCAACTTTATGGACATAAATATTTTAACAACACTTGGTCTACATCAAAAGGTCTCGAACGTCAAAGTTAAAATGAAAAAATACCAAAATAAATGTTCCTAAGTGCCACAACCACAGAGTGTCCCGCATATTTATATTATATTACTACCATCTGTTTTGCTAGCCTTGTTTACCAACTGAAATTTCTGTTTAAGCTTACGCTAACCTCACTTTTCACGCTTTAATTGCTGTTGTTGAAAGTTTTAGTTGTTTTTATGTTTCCTTTTTGTTTTTATGTGGAGGCGTCTTTTTACCATATCACGTGCAGCAATTTCGCACCCTTAAAAAGTTTAAGTTTATCTCATTTATTACTTCAACAGACTCTCGCAAGCAATTCTGCGCTCAGGGTGGTGTGAATTTCGCATATATAATTATATTTTTTTAGGCTTCATCAAATTAGAATATTTGTTTGAAGCTCTATGGATTAATTGCGAAATAATTACTATAAAAAATATGCTTTATCACTTTTCTAAAAACGATAAATTGTAGTCTCAACATCTATCACTTTTTCAACATCTTGTATTTCCAACAATGCTTCTCTCTTCCACCCATGTTAAGCTCTTAAAAGTATGCTTCACAATTTCAACCACATATGATACTAGAGAACTATAGAGCTTCTCTAATTTTCTGTTGTTTGTTTTCAACTAATTTGTCACTAACAAGACAAACGCTGAAATTATTTGCCACTGTTACAGAGGATTGAAGTATGTTAAAGTTTTATAAAAGTTCATAGTTTTCTATATATATCTATATATATAGTATATAGATTACTCAAGAGAAGTGGGCGTAAAATGATATATAACAATTGATGGTAAAGTAATTTAATCAGTAATATAATTCTATGCATATTTTTATAGCATTAGAAAACATTTCTGAAGAATAAAAAGTGATGGCTTTTATTTTTAACTCTGGAGAGCAACTTCTGTAAGCATGTGTAGAATCATATGAGTGTGTCCTAAGTTCCAGCCCACTCTCTTTCAATAAATTTAAAAATGAGACAAATACTACCCATTTATCACCTCGTAAACGAACTAAGAGCATGCCCTACTCTTCCCTTATCTCCATCATCTCATTAATGACATTACTATTATATATTTATTAACAGCATGCAAAATTCCCAAATTGGTAATAAAGATCTAACGATAGGTAACTATAGTACACAGTGTGGTAATAATTACTAACATTTTCCTCTTTGTTATTCGCCAATTTGGTTCACAGGCGTATGAGGCCGGAATTGACGTTCGCATATTAAATGTTCACATTTGTTCATGCGCTGTGCTTTCGTCAATAATTCAACGAAATCGATTGTGTTACTTTTATTACAAGAATTAACCTTGTTTACTTGTATGTCAATTTCCTTGCCCAGTTTAGACAGCTGGCTGTTTTCTAAAAATAATCCAGGAGTTKTAATACCATAATTTCCATTTGTTGTTTTTTTTTCTGGCACTGCCATCCATTTATCGAGGACTTCACATAACAAAAAAAACTTTCACTGAATTGTGGTATATAAAGTACCTGATGCTTGTAATTAATAATATTTTAAAAATGATTTAAGTTTGTGAAGATCGCTCGTAAATTATTGTATCTAACGACGAGGAACGGATTAGAACGAAAAGAGATAATATAATTTACGAAAACGTGTAATTTACTGAGTTTATTCGTGGTACATACATATGTACAATTTGTACTGGATATCTGRAATTTCATTGTCACAATGCATCATTCAAAAGTTACTTTAAAATTTTTCTTAACTATTGGGTCCTTCATTAAGCAATTTTACTCTTTTAGTGCAATTTAAAGGCGATTATTTTATTGAGTAAAATATTGTAAAAAAAAAAAGAATATATTCTTCATTTTATCCAATACCTTTTGACATGTTTGAGACAAAATATTGATTTGAATGTTTTATTCTTGCAGGCAAAAAGCTATTCCAAGGGGCTTTTGACGTCCTAATTTACGATGAAGGTTCTCTTAAAAAAAAAGCAGAGACCGGTATAAGTAATATTCCGAAGGTGGGAAGAGAATATGGTAGATGTGGTAGCACATTCCATTCAAACTTTGAGTGTATCACAATATACATACTTCAGAATTAATTGAAGTGTTTTCGCGCAAAAGCTCAAAATAAACGATACCTGTGTCTTGCTTATAAAACGTCAAAGAAGTGATCCATTTTCGAAGCGCATGGAAAGTGGGTTTACTGGCGACGAAAAGTGAATTTTTAAAGAATATAAAGTTCAAGCTGTCATGGTCTAAAAYAGATGCAATGTAGAAACTACAATTGGATCGTCTATTTCTTTCCTAGGAATCTTATTCTTCCTATTCATCATCTGAGAAAGTTTGGTAACACAAAGACAAGTAATTTATCCTATGCAACTTAGTTCTTCAATTGAATGACTACATACTCCTCCAGCTGAACATAGTTACTCAGAACTACCTCTTCTGTTATAATCAAATAAAATTGCTTAGTGAATGAACCAATATATAAAGAATTTAGACCTGATCTTGACATATTTAAGTATACACTCCTTATTGCTTTGCATGTACAATTGTATATCTGTAACAATTTCCACTACAAGTAAGTTTTTATAGATACGTTGACCATTGTGTCCACAAAGTCCATTAAAACGTATTTATTATTTCAATGTGTAATAAAGAATTACGTGTAAATATGTGCAAGTTTATTTTTATTATTTATAACATTTTAATTTTGCTGAGATTGTGTGTTGAATAATGTATAAATTATAAAAGCACACGGACAATAAAGCTCAGTGATTTGTAAAATCTCGTACGAGCGTGGCAAACTAAAGCCGATAACTAGTGGACAAGCTATGGAGGCCAACGCACATATAAACATTTAAAGCATTGAGCAAATATGCAAGTAAATGTATATATTTTTAGAATTGCAGACAAATAGATATTTGCAGTGGCATTTCTAAATGAAAGCTTTTATTATATGAAAATGTTTATTGTACATTCATTAGCAGTATTTGATTTGTCTGTACTAGAGAAATGGAAGGAAATATAGGTAGCATGTTTTTAAAGATAGAGAACGTACAGTGGGATGACTGTCAAATCAGAAGAGGCTCTAAATAGACATGTATTAAATTTTAAAATATTATTAAAAAATTTGCTAAAGATTTTATATGGGATTCAGAAATTCCAGGTTACCTTAAAAATACCACAAACAGAGAAGTATTTAAGCTCAATTATATTCCTTTATGATAGCGATACATAATGAATACAACGCCCAAAAGCAGGCTTCGTTGAACTTGAAGAGACCGGCAAGGTCATACAAAATTGTGTTCGTATTCAGTTCGGTGGGACTAATACAACCAAGAACAAGAAACAAGTACTCCAACCAGAAAGTCGAAAAATTTAATTAGATATAACTGTAGAGATATACGTAACCTGCCTTTCATATTTCGGGAATCGAGAACAGAAACAAAATTTAAACATCAAAAATCCTTATATTGTTTTTCATAATACTCTTCATTAAGGTCTTCACACTTTTGCATGTATTTTAACCAATTGCCACTCTGGTTGAGGTATCTCCAAATAATGCCTTTTGAACGCATCAACCGCCTCTTCTGGTGTTGAAAAACGTTGACCTCGTAGTGGTATACCGTGGTATACCGAGGATGACTCATCAAATCGATGTTTACAATGATCGTAAATGAAGGATTCATCACATGTCATCTATCAGTTTACGCACAGCATTAATCAGTTTCCGGAACCACAACTGACTTTGAACGACCTTCAAGAAATTTATCTTGGACTCATCTAAGACCTCAACTGGAGTCATCATACCACGGAAAAAGTGCTCCTTGATGGAGCTTTATCGTCAAAAATTTAATTAAGTTCGTCGATACATTCTTTTTATGTTAATCCACATCGCAATTTGTAAAAAAACAATCGCGCGATTCGCGATTTAGTTCCAATTTTTTTTGCTTAGATGAATATTTTAAGTTACTGTAATCAACACACACATGTCAAAACGTGCTGAGTATCCGTACTATCAAATATGCCAAACTTTTCGATAAAATTCTGAGATTCCAGATGACAACCTACGTACCTATAGGTCCCATACATATAATTTATCTCCATCTCTAATTAGTCAATGTTATCTCCCTCGCTGTTTGTAAAATTGCTGAAGGGAGTAAAATATCAATATTCTGGTCTTAAGAGAGTATTGCCTCAGCACCGAAACAGTTTGAAGGGCTGTTCCAAGAGACGTTCGAGAAGGAGCCCATACAAATGCTTAATACATACTTAAGGGATTCATACATAGTTTACGGGATTCACAAAATCGATTTTTTTTTTGTTACTGTCTTATTAAATTCT